TAGTTGGTAGTGGTTTCACAGCAGGCATTCCTGCTCGTCCACTACCACCACACCGACAACATTGAGGACTTCCTTGCAACTTTGGAGCCTTGGGAAACAGCTCTCTATACGAGCTTGAATGGATGGGGACGCCTACTCAGTCCTGCAGATTGTCACAGCCATGCCCTTCTGGTGGCCAGCGATGGGGCTCCGACATTGAAGCCGGTAAGCGAGTTTTGCATGGGTCCTGGCAGACAACCGCGGCCAAATTGTGCTTCGGTGTTCTGGTCCTAGTTTTTGGTATGGTTTCGACTTCATACAGGGCGGAGGCCTATGGCTTCTATCCCCTACTTGCCTTCTTCGACGATTGCTGGAGTTCTACGATCAGACAGCATGAAGAATTATGTACACTTATGCGACAATGAGTCTGTGACGAACAAGTGCGCTAGCTGTCTCGAGTATGAGGATGGTACCCCAATGATTCTTTGGACTCCGACTGGGATGTCTTGCAGCAGATCGAGGATTCGTTCCGGCTGCAGTCACTGTGCCCAAGATGGAGCACATCAAATCGCACCAGGACAAGCACAAGGCCATCGAAACACTACCCTAAAAGCACAACTGAATGCAGAGCTGACAAACTGGCAGGCATTACATGACCAGACACATCAACAGGATCACTCCAGGTACTCCGATTTCCGGCAAACCTGGCCCAGCTGCACCTTCCCAGAGGAACATGCACATACAAGCTCCCCGAACACTGCGGCATCTCAGGAACGACCAGCCCCTGTTCGACCACATTGTCAAACTGAATCCCGACTGGGACGAGGACACCCCTGCACTGGTTGATGGACAGCCCATGGTCGAGTGTCAACCGTCAGAGATCCACAAACCGACAATTGTGAATTTTCTATTTCAATTGTTGCCAGTTGGGAAAAGGTCCACCGGGATGACCCCAAGTATGATCACCACTGTCCCCGTTGTGGCGGTGTATCACAGAGACTGAAACCCATGTTTATCGATGCCCGCATGTTGACGTGGATTGGCGAGGGACCATGCAACGAGCGATAGCACAAGTTGCGCAAGGATTCCACAGACCCCTTCCTCCTGGAAATTGCTCTGGATGGACTACAATACCACTTTAAGATCGATTCCTCCACCATGGCACTACCCTGACAGGTATAGGACCTCGTTGACACTCAAAATCTCATTGGTTGGGACAACTTCCTGAGAGGACGTTTGTCCACGCACTGGCTAAGCATCAAGATGCATATCTGCATCGGGTCGGCTCCCAGGAGACAACCAAGACAGGGCAGCTCTGGGTCACCAACCTAGCTCACTGCTCATCCAGCAGTGGTGGAACCTGTGGAGGATCGAAATGCTGCCAGGCATGGCAAAGACAGGGAAGACCAGTGGAAAAGAAGCACGAACAGCTTCAGCGGGAGGTGGAACTCATTTACGAGAAAGCGGATCTGATCCCAGTGGAGCTGGTGGACTTTATCTTCAAGCGACCGCTTGACGAGCAAATGGAAGGGCCCAGGCGACATCAAAGCGTGGCTTGCCAATTGGCTGCCCGCGTCGATAAGGCACTCAGGGACGAGCATGCACGCACAATGCAGAACAATGACACAAGGTAACTACGCACAGAAGGGGTCCTGCCGTAGAAATAGATGGCAATCCAGCCAAGGGTAGATAGTTAGCTGCAAAGCACCCTCCGGAGTTTTTAACTTCTCCGGTGGGGGCTCTTGCACTAGGCCGGTTCCTATGTGGGCGTCCTTGTACGTCTGAGGTACTCCGGTTCAATATGGCTCCGTTCAGCGGGTGGTCTATTGAGGTGCAGCCTAAATAATAAAACTTCGTTATTTTTTTTTTTTCAACAGTCGAGACTGCAACGTTCGGATCTGAATATGTTGCAGCCCGTACCGCCACTGAGCAGATCATTGACCTATGAAGCACATTCAGGTACCTAGGAGTACTGGTCGACACGCCGACCATGATGTTCGGAGACAACGAGACGGTAGTCAACACCGCCTCGATGCCACACTCAAAGATTCTCAAAAGACACAATGCACTTTCCTACCACCGTACTAGGGAAGCTGTTGCTGCAAGTATCTTGAGATTTCATCATATCCCTGGATCTACTAACCCTGCAGATATCCTCAGCAAACACTGGGACTATACATCAGTAGGGCCTATGCTGAATGCACTACTGTTTTGGTCAGGCGATACCAAGGATTGCGGTAAGAAACACTCAGAGTCGACAGTCGCCACTGAGGGGAGTGAAAGCGTTACAGTTCCTCCCACGACTCAGAGTATCCGTGAGTAGATTGAGTCATGCTTTATGGGTCAACACGATGGAACAGAGAACGCTGGCAAGAACACGTTCTCAACGAAACCAAAGGACACGGTAAATTGGAGTATTCGACAGGAGTAAAGCATCCTGCCAACGAACCGTTTCCCGCAGATACCACGTTGACTTCCGTATGAATCAAGATCAACTACCACGATGCATTGACCTAACTCGCTACGAACTAGCTTTACTGATCACATCAATCAAAGCTCACAACACAGATTATGAATTACTAAGAAGCGAACTTTGCATTTACTTTGCACTCGTCTTGAATAGTTGCAGTTGATCTCGTTGGGTCGTAGCTACCTCTACAAGATCCCTCTATTCAAGTAGTATTTCCTCACGTTAGCAAGAATCACCATCATGCCAAAAGATATCTAGCTTGCCAAGAAGATTTGAGGTGGATGATATATATATATAGACCTGATAGTTAACTAAAACTATAGTGAGGCGATATATGTTCTTCTTTGGTGCGTTCTTTCGTGCATACACATATGTCTTTCGTCGGTGCAGCCTTGTCCGTTTTTTGTTTCCATGAGGGCCTAATTATTTCCTTTTCGTGCACTTTGTGAGTGTGACAATTTCTCTCACAGGACCGTTAAATTATGGTTATAATTGTATATAGGTATACATGTATGGATAGTAGTATACCTGGTGTGTGCAAGGATCGAATCATGCGCCTGCCCTCCCTGTCATGCCAACTTGGGTCACATACATTCTGCGGCTGGTTCGAACTCATTACTTAGCCAAAACTCTGGCAGATCACTCTGCGCTTTCTGTAGAGTGAAACTACAGAGCAAATTCATTGTTTGGCAGAGTTTTTCGTTTCCAGTGAGTAAACCTCCAACATTCTGCCTCCGGTCCAGGTTTTTGGCTCCGATTCATCTCCATCGCTACCTTTCTTCGTATCTGCATTCGGCTCCGATTCCTCTCCATCACTATCTTCCTCCCTATCTGCATTCGGCTCTGATTCCTCTCCATCACTATCTTCCTCCCTATCTGCATTCGGCTCCGATTCTTCTCCATCACTATCTTCCTCCCTATCTGCATTGGCATCACTATCATCCGAGTCTCCGTCGCTACCTTTGTCATTTGCTGCATCACCACCTTGCTGATTCTCTGCATTTGCATCATTATTATCCGGGTCCTCGTCCTCATCCTCATCCTCGTCCTCGCCACCATCATCATCGACACCCATTGGATCGTAATCTCCATAGTACTCCCACAATCGAAGACCATCCAGCTCAGCCATTGCCCACTGAATGACCATAATTCAAGCAACCGGATAGCTGTCTGCAATTCGAAGGTTGCCATGTTCTTTTGGGTGAGCCGTGCTGCCACTTTGGTCACTTCGTGGCCACTTTCATTAGATCCAGTGTCATGTTCCTTAGGTACGCCATACAAAAGGATATCATTTGCCATGTGTATTATCGCGTGAAACTTCATCACTTTCAAACCCATTCATGTTGCTCTCCTCAACACTTTCTTCAATAGGTACATGATGAAGCGATGTTTCTTCTTCAAGCGCTTAACTGTTTTCACATGCATCTCTGGTTCATTCAGGAATGCCTCCCATTCCAAGAGCATCTCCACCAGCCTCAACCAGTCCTTTCGGAGCTGTGGTGTCTCGAAATGTTGGCTTTTGCTTAGTATTTCGATACCCTTGGTGGATCTCAATACGGCAGCAATGAGTAGCAAAACGCCACGGTACTCGTTAGCCATCAGCTTCTTCTTCTGCCTGATTCCATGGGTGAATTTGCATCCTGGGATGCTCCGTTCAGAGTTATGGGAGAAGAGTTGCCCATATTGTGATGCCAATGCATCAATCTCCGTGGCTCCTGCTGAGGTTGGGCCAATCTGGGCAAAGAAGCTCTCTCTCGTATACAAAAAGATACCCAACAACATGGCGTGGAGCATCTCAGAGGGCAAGCACCATGGATTCCGGTATCGTACTTGGGATCGAATCTGACCTTATTCCATGCATTGTCAATCAGGTGCTGGGAAATTGCTTGCAATCCTTTCTTGTCCTTGGTGTCGATGAGTTCTTGGATGATTGTCAGTGTCTTTGCTGTGTAAGTACCAACGTGGTTGTCGCAGTCAAGAGTTGGAACATTGCAGTATCGACAAATCATCGTAACATTGCCCAACCGGCTTCTATACTTTCCACAGACCATGACAGTAAAGAACACAAGCTCGAGGTTTCGGTAGAGCTTTCCTCTGTAATGGAGATCCCATATCATCCCAGTTGTTTGGATGGTTACGTAAGAGTGCAAGATGGTATCAAGTTGGTGATGGAAGTCCTGTGCCTTCACGACTTTCGTTTGTCTACCCCCCTCATTGGCAAGTAAACCTTCGAAATTCAGGAAATCCAGAACTGCTTGATCATGGTTTGAGTCGGCAAATATCTTCTTTCCTTGTGATTTGCCTGCCGAGTAGTTGACAACATATCCAAGAGTTGCCCATGCCTGATCCTTCCTTCGATATTCCAGGGAGAAACAAGAGAGAGACATCTTTGTTGAAGAGACTAAATGTAGCGAGAGATGTATTACGAATGATGTTATAAGATTATGAGGAAAAGCTACTTTGTTGTCTCTGGATATCTGTAGATGAGTGGAGGCTAGATTCCGGTTGACAGTGGACGGTCAGACGGCCGGAATCAGCACACCCTCAGCCTCTACTCAGGTATGGGCTGGAGATAGCGTGCGCGTTTGAGAATGTGGTGAGCCGTCGGGTGATGCTTGCTGAAGTAGTCAGCATCATTCTCTTTGCCAGGGCGCCAATATACTAGGAATTGGCCCTGTTGTATGCGATCTCTGATCCAATAGAAGCGCATGTCGATTGCTTTGGATCGTCTTTGTTTGACTGTGTTAAGGGCGAGTCCAACGGCCACCTCGTTGTCGGTTTGGATCGGGGTGGCTGGTTGTGGGTGGCCCATCTCGTCCAAGGTTGTGCGGATTGTGCAAGCTTCCCTGGCATTGTAGTAAAGAGCTGCCAGTTCTGCTTCCGTAGCTGAGGCAAGCACCATGGGTAGAATGGAGCTGATGATTAGGATGGCTCCGTTGTGTGGAGGGAGCTTGTCCGCTGGTTTGGGAGCTGTGTTTGGTTGTTGTAGTGAGTCAGATAGGATGAAGTGGCCTGCCACTCTGGAGCGTGCTTCGGTTTCAGAGTGGTATGATGCATCACTGTGGATGGACAGGATCATGCCGCTTGCATGGTATCTGACTGTGGCGTCTGGGTGGGTGAAGCAATAGTCTAGTAGTTGAGCTGCAGCTCTCTTGGTGGCCTGAGTTCCTTTGGTCTGGGCTGAGGCGAGTGTGCCAAGGGCTACTAGCATGGTTGAGTCCACTGCTCTTCCATAATATAGGAGGGTTCCGATGATTTCTTGGAGGCGTTTTGTGTCTTTTTGTTGGAGAGGATTGGTAGTGTCAGCTTTGGCTGTGAGCTGGGTCTTGGCTCCATATTGCGGCAGGTTGCATTTGTATGGTGAATTTTGGGCTCTGTTTGGGTGTGGATGTTCGAAACGTGCTAGGGCTTTTGTGATGTACCCTGGCATGGAGAGGTCGACGGTTCTGTTGGTGTAGTCCCAGTTTAGGGTGAGACCGCAATAGAGGCTTCCGGTCCAGTCCGTTGTCATAGTGTATTGGGCTTGGATGGTGCGTTGTCCTTTTGGTAGGGCTGGCGGGAATTCAGTTGGAGAATCGGTCACTGGTTGTGGCAGTTTAGGTTTTGTGGTCTTGGTTCCCTGGCGTTGTTGGTCCATGTGTCCTTTAGTAGTTGCCTTTGATTGGGGTGGGTATTTGCGGAGGCTTTTTGTGTTGAGGCCTGGGAAACCTGTTATATAGTGCTTGTCGACTGCAGTTTGGAGCGTTGAGAGTGCTGGGTCGCCCATAGTAGTGTGACTGAAGGCTACTTGTTGGGCTTTGGTGGGATCAAAGTGTGCTGCGTTGGCAAAGTTGTGGGTCAGTTTGATGGTGACTGAAGCTGCTTGTTGAATTGGATCTATCGGTGGGAAACCGGGTGGGTTGTCTATGGGGATGTGCCATAGGCCAGTCTGGGGTGTTCGGTAGCCCGTGATAATGCATTGTGCGTTGTAATAGACCTTGACCGTGGTGTTGGTAAAGGTGCTGTGCATCCACTATCGCAGAGCTGTCCTAGCGAGATGAGAGATCCTGAGCCATGTTTGAGTTTTTTGAATAGATGAGCTCTCATGCTGCATGTGGTAGGTGTGGTATGGTGATGTCTCCTTCATGGGTGGATGTCATGGTGCTCCTTGTGCTACTACGACTGTGATTGGGTTGGTAGTGGGGTGTTTGTTGTGACAACTAGCATTCCACATTAGAAAATGAGACGTGCTGCACTATCTAAGGCACGTAATTGGTGTTTTTTATTGTGGTGGGGGAGGACCTAACGAGTCGTTGTTGTTCTTGTTGAACGTGGGTTTAATTATTTTGTGTTGACTGTTATTGTTAGGCTTCCCGCTGAATCAGTTTCCGCGGCGGGGCTGGTATCGTTCGTTGCTGCCTCCCATTTGTTTTGAGCGGTGGCCTGGATGTTGTGGCCCTCCTTTGGGAAGTGCACGTATCACTGTTGTGGGTGGGTTATGGCAGTAACCGTGAGTCCAGCACATCCCATGGCATCGAGTTCGGCTGCCTGGAGACCAACGATCGAGGTGTTGCTCTGGTAGCGGAGCGTGGTTTGGGCGATCGGTGGGGGTGGTGGTGCATTTGCTGCTTGGGACTCTCGAATTGACTCTTGGACGATCCTGGTGATCGTGGCTATGTCGATCATTTGTGGATGGGTGAGCGTAGAAGTCCGGTGGTAACTGTTTGGGTTCCGTGATAGTTGCGTTGGCTCGTTGGTGGTAGCCTGCGGCGCTGCAGTGGTTTCGGTCTGGCGACATTTTCGGCATCACGAAAGAATTCTTTGAAGTGGGTGAGGGTGCGGTTTTCTGGTGTATGCTTGTTCCATTCTCGGATGGGATGAATGAATAGGCCCGTGGCGTGTAGAGTGGCTACTCCGGCGCTGACACCGTTGCGGTCACTAATGACATCTCCGCCTTCTACTGAGAAAGCAATGCGGTGTCGATATTATCGAAGAGTTCCTCAGATGTCTGTGGGTGGAGTCCAAGGCTGGTGAGGAGTTCACGATTGGCAAGGAATCAGTCTCTGTGATTTTACCGTATGTGGTCACTAGATGGGTAATGATGTCAAATGGGCTGGTGTTGCCGTATCCCCACATGCGATCTTTGAGGGCCTTTGTGTAAGTATCGTTAACGGTGTCCAAAATTTGCTGGAGGATCTGGGCCTCTGTTTTGTGGTATAATTTCCATGCATCCAGTTCATTTTTGTAGGTTTGGTCTGTGGCGGTACATGAGTGCTTGGGTGGCGTTGGCAGCATGTACGGTTTGTCTGGTTTGATCGGGACGACGAATGCAACTTTGCCTTGGGATGCTGCATGTATGCTGCTTGGCCAAGGATGATGTAGGCGTGGCCTATCTGCCATCACCGTCCTCACTGGAGATAGCTTCTGGTGTTTGCAAGAACCTGAGAGATGAGGAGGGATAGCTTCTCTGGTCAGGTTTGCCAATGATTGGTGTGAGGATGGGGTGTGGCATTGCTCAGTTGGTGTAGTGGTCATTGTAGGAGAGGGTAGAATTGGATTTGAAGTTGGGCGACACGGGTATATTTAGTTTCCTTTGTCGGACGTTTAAGGCCTGTGTGTCTAGGTGGTGTATGTGTGGGTAGTGGTATTGTAGGTTGGTGTTGGTATTGTAGGTTGGTGTTGGTGTTTGTTGGCTAGTAGCGGTATCAGCTGGTAGCGGTATCAGTTCGGTATCAGTGTCGTTCCGTTCGAGGATAGAGGTTCGTCGTTCGAGGATAGAGGTGCGTTCGTTCGAGGGTAGAGGTGCGTTGTGCCGTTCGAGGATAGAGGTACGTTTCGAGGATAGAGGTGCAGTCGTCGATAGAGGTGCGTCGTGCCGTTCAATCGATAGAGGTGCGTTCGTCGAGCGAGCGATCGATAGAGGTGCGGTCGTTCCGTTCGTCGAGCGTTCGAGGATAGAGGTGTGTTTCGTTCGTCGAGCGGATCGGTGGTGGTATCGGTTGTATAGAAGAAAGATCTTATAACATCTGTTGAAGAGACTAAAGGTAGCGAGAGATGTATTACGAATGATGTTATAAGATTATGAGGAAAAGAAACTTTGTTGTCTCTGGATATCTGTAGATGAGTGGAGGCTAGATTCCGGTTGATGGTGGACGGTCAGACGGCCGGAATCAGCAATCTTCAGCGCAGTTATCAAAAGGTTTTGGAACTGGCCAGTCACTGCCCCGTCAATATACCATTGGATGCCGATTCCCATTTGCTTTCGGGGATTGGTAACGTATGCCTTGTAACAATTGCGGTACGCCTCACCAGTGTTCAACTGACTGATTTTGGTACTCGTTTTAGGTGGTGGAGCTAGTGGATCGTTATCGAAAAAGCAGAAATCGTCGTCCGTGAGGCGTGGTTCGGCAAGCAATTGCCACACACAATGGCGAGCATCGTGGCACACCACCTTGATGTTAGCACCTGAATGTGGAAGCACAAGGTCTTTTGTGAAAGGGAATTTGCCACCCATGTTGTATCTTTTCATGAGGAAGCTCATCAATTTTTTCCGGCTCAAGTACTCCGGAACCTCACCAAGCCTCTCGTCATCCAATCAGGCTCCAGGTTCATCCAAGTGCCATGTCAACACATCATCATACGCAGTCAAAGGCGCCTTGTTCTTTCGAAGGATATCCATCAATTTGACACCCCGAGCCTGTTTCTTATCCAAGGGGAGGAATGTCTTCTTTGAATCTGCACAATATTGCCGGAATTGGTTGATGTTCCTATCGTCTGGAGGTTCATTGTCATGGTTCCACTCCTTGGGAATTTGTACCAGGGTAGCTGTTGATCCACCACTGCTGGTCTCATCATCATCATCATCATCATCATTGTCTGTGTCTTCTTGCGAATCGTCGTCACTTCCTTCCTCGATAACTTTTAGGAGCGAGAGCTCTGGATCCCGTCAGAGATAGCTCCAACAGCTATGCTGGCCTACAGCTCCAGCACCCACAGCTGGCTTATCTCCAGCCAAAGCAGCAAGAAAGGATCGTCCTTTCCATCATAGTTAAGAAAATAGTACGAAAGATTGAGACCGATCCTGATTAGCTTGTAGCCCCTTTGATACCGCAGCAGTTGATTCCTCTCCTGTTGAGGCCGGGCAGAAGCAGTAGGAGGTAGCAGATAGTACTGTTCCCAGACTGCCACTGCACGATTGAATAACGAAGGCCCCCAGCTCCTGAGGAGAGCTGGCCCAAAGGGCCCAGCAGAGAGCTCTGCTGGCCCTCCTGTCTGACTGACAGGGCCAAGTCCTTGGTTTGGTGCCTACTGGAGGTGTTGGAACACTCCTGAGGCACGCCGAGGCTCCCTTACTGTCTGACTACCGCTGTCCCTGAGGAAGGGCTTCAGCGAGACCCAGTCCACTACTTGGGTATTGGAACTGAAAGTTATTGGATTAACAGTCGCATAGATTTGCAGGCAGTTCTTAAGGGAAGAAGAGACCTCCTTGACGAGAAAAGGATCTCTTCGAAATACAACAATCAGTGCTACAGCCACAGTTGGATTCATTGAATTTCATTGGCATTTTGAGGTGGTTTCAAGGCCCACTTTTGAAGTCTTATCTCAACAACCTTCCAGCCAATTCCAACAGTTCTAGTCTTCACCACAGTGACAACAGGGACCTTTGGCTTGGCCACCTACCAACCCACAGCCTAACACAAAGCCCATTGCCTTCGAAAAGGACCTATTCCGACAACCTCGTTGCCGATACGAACCGTACCAGGTAGCACGTTGAGGAGGCAAAGCAACAACAGAAGAAGTACCGGTCCCGGTACGGAACACCAGGAGTCTCTGAGTGAACGCGAGACTTATTGGCTTCGCACCTATCTTGGCAATCGAGCAACGCTTTCACGCGTTATTCCTTTCCAGTCAACCAGCGATTACATGACTTATCACGCTGTTTCGAGGCTTATCTCTCCAGCACGTCCGTGCAGTTTTCGAGTGTCACGAGTTTCCGTCCTGTACTGGTTTCAGGGATCCACGGAACGTCTTGGAACACTTTGACGTTCTTTCTCAGAAGCCGCTCAGCCAATCAAATCGGCCGTGCAGGATTAGAGTGTTCCGTGAAATTACGGTACTTATTCGCTCGTGCACTGAGTCATTTTTCACCGGTTACGAGAGTTCCTTTTCGATCCTGGATCTCCGAAGACTTATACGACAACAGTTCCCCGTTCCGAAAGCAGGCAAACATCACGCAAGCTGAATTCGCCTCACATTTTAAGGTGTTTACACGGTCGAGTCATTGAAAATCGTGAAATCGCGATCTTTCACGGAGCGAACCAACGCGGTACAATAAGCGAAGAGTAACCCGAGGACTCACAACGACACCAAGTGACAGATTCGAGAGCCTTAGAGTGGTACCAATAGAAGCGCAATCCTTCAATTGGTCTCTGGGTATCTCACTTTGGATTTTTGGGAGCTTTTGTGGGGAGATTCGTTGATCCCAGTAAGCTAGCTTCCGGTGTGGCAAAATCACCACAAACCAAGGCAGTTACCAGCACCAAGGGAACACAGGAATCAGGTCCAAGCCTTTGTACCTGGTCCACCTTATTCCAACAGACATAGATTGAATTTTCCAGCCCCATAGCAAGGTCCCTAGAGGTCATCTTTGTGGATTCCAGATTACAGTTGAGTCAGCTTTACTCTCCTGTTACAACAGCTTTGGCAGCAACAAGAGGCACAATGTCTAGCTACACCGACCGGGGCTGGTGCCACTACTCAGACCAATGCTGGTGCCAGGTTGGCGACAACAACCCAGAGTACCAATCCATCTTCGGGATCCTTGACAAGGCACCCCACCACCGTCAGGACACTTGGCCAACAGTGTATCCAGCACCTGAATCCCCCTTTGCGATCCTTGACAAGGACAGGCATCACCTGGGCCCAAGCAAATTGCTACCCCAACAGCCTACGAAATTGCAGAGGCCATAGGTGGCTTCCAACCAAAAGCAAATATGTCACCATCCGACGCTAGGACAAGGCTGGCAGCGCTCATGGAACCACACCAGCAGCAGGCCGCTACCGGTAGCTACTACAGGACCAGGCAACACAGGCAGAAAGCAGCCGTCAGGCAGCCCAACCACCAGCCAGCTTACAAGCCAGCTTGTGGGGAGCCGCCAGGCACTCGCCATTTGCCCCTTACAGGGGCTCACCACCAGCTGCCCAACGCCACTCCCTTGGTTGCCCGATTGCAACACTCTGCCCTTGCTGGTGCTCCCAATGCATCACTGGGTGATGGGGAGATTTCAGAGCTGGCTACCTACAGCTCCAGTGTTCACCCAGCTTTTCCATTGGCTTTGAGGGAATAAGACCACGATGATTCCAACCACGGACCAAATGCTCCAAGGGCCAACAACCACAACGTTTATACCCCAGACATACGAGACAGCCAGGTCTCCTTGCAACAACAATAAAACGGTGTGGCCCGCCAACTCAACCTCATGAGAGATGACCTCGAGTCATTTAAACGAGACATGAGTGCCCAGCTCCTTGCCTTTGAGGACAAAATGGCAACTCAACTGGAAGCAGCCCTTGTAGTCTCTGAAAGGCAACCTGTCCACGCGAACCTGAAGCATCACAGGGCCACTCGTTCCAAGCACGATGCTATTGGCATCCAACAACGATTGACAAATGCCCTATCGGCTACCAGCCAGACGCCCAGCAATGTAGTCATGGCTCCAGCTCTTGCCAGCCCTAGTAGTCATCCAACCTCTGGGGAGATCATGGCCGAGCCTACAGCCAACAAGCAACCAGCTTCTGTTGGCCGGTCTAGATATTTAGCGGACCCGGATAAGAAAAAGACCGCACCGTCGTAGAATTTTAAGGAAACTGGCATTCTCAGAATCCAGATTTCAGAGCAACCTGGCAGAAAGATCATTCTTTCTGCTCAGCTCGCCCAAATCAACAAATTAACTTGATATTAGCCAGTAGCTACAGTGTTGCCTTATCCAACACTGAGCAGAAAGAAAGTTTGTATTGAGTTTGTCCATGGTATTGGTATTGTAATAGTGAGAAAGAACTGAGAGAAACAGCGGGCTCAGGTATTGAGCAGAGGTGCTCTGTAGCCCCACTATAAAGGCAAAGCAACAGAGCTAACAGAGAAAATTCGGCTCACATTTTCGCTCACCCATTCCAAGCTCTCGGAGCATCGGCCGATCGACTTGTCGACCGATTCAGAGCAAACCAAGCACATCAGCGTCGAGAGCACAGCTAGCCGGTCCATATTGATGCTTGAACCAAGGTCATCCGACAAGAATTGAAGGAGTAATCGCCGATCGCGTGTTTTGGGTACCCACTCTACGAGCAAAAGCCGATCGACGCGAACGAACACAACGAGCGAACCAAGAGAGATACAGCTACGGCCGCATACAGGGATAGAAAGAGGCCCTATTGCCGCCTATGCCACGACAAGTGCAAGCTCTCAACTCCGAAAATTGAGCGAGATACGACCAATCGAGTCAAGCAGTGCTGAAGCGACGGGATTCCTACAGCCCGACAGTACTCGACGCACTGAATCTTCAGCGGTGAGCCATTCCAGCCTATGAAACTCATCTACTGAGTCTATACAACACCAATACAAGTATCTATAACAAGAAGAAGGCTTCGAGTCGACCGATAGAGTCCATCGGTAGCATCCTCCAAGCTCAAACGGTGTGAAGACACGACGCGATAGGAACAAGCCAAGTTTAAGGCAGGAGCAGTCACAGGAGTGACAATATAGACCCACAAGAGGCTACCTGATCAATAGGAAATAAGAGGAACCACCTCCAGCTCCACCAAGCGTCCCAAGTCCAAAGTACACCGTATCCAGTACAAGTCCACGCAGCCAGTAATTCCTCAAGGCAAATAGACCATATCAAGAGCAAGATGACACGATTCAACAACAGAGGAGGCCGTGGCAACAGAGGAGGAGGCAGAGGCTCCTCCGGCAGAGGCCAAGGCGCCGGTAGAGGCGGTGCCAGTGGTGGCGGTAGAGGCAGAGGACAAAGCAACCGCCGAAAGTTCCTGTTCCATCCCAATGGACAGGCTGACTCCAGATTTTATCCGTTTACAGAGACATTGAACCACATTGTGGCTACTTTCAGAACCAGGTCAGAGTGGATAGACGTTCCCAAAGCGTCAAGTGGAGTTGTGTGTGTAAACCCCGCCTGACCCCCAGTTTTCCAACTTTAGAGAGGCTCTCACCCTCCTCCAAGTTTGTGTGCTTGAGCTTGGAAGCCACTGGCTTTCTTCTTGCTAGATTTGACCCAACCATCTGGCTGGCGAGCCAGGCGGTTGTACATGTTGGCAGCTTGATCACACAATTCAGATATGGAAGGGTAAACTGGAAGCTTGGAGGTTCGATCTGATTCTGCGAGGGCTGCATCCTTCACGTCCTTGAAGGTCTTGTTGAACTGAGAGTTACTCGAGGACTGGAAGATGTCCAAGACAGTCTCAGTGTAGTCATCAGGGATAAAGCTCTTGCCTTCCCTGGCATTGCTGGTCAACAGATCAGTGACAGTCTTGATGAGAGTTACAGCGGTGTCCACACTCTCTCCCTCTAGATCTCGGATCTTCAACTTCTTGAGGGAACCGCGCACTCGAAGAATGGCAGCCTCAGAGGAGTCTTGGATACGATGAAGGATGAGGATCAACATCAGGGGTCCACCTTGTTGGTAAGGATCAAAGGTCTCATAGGTCTCAAGGCATTTATTCCAAAGGGATTCTTCGGTGTTGGCCTTGAGAAGAGAGTACACGAGGGTCATGTTCTCTCGGACATAGGGCTCCTGAATGTACCGGTTGTAAAAGTAGTTGGATTCTCCCACCATGTGGGGAGTCATCCTGGCATAGTCTGAGAGGAGATCATACTGCTGCTCAATCATGGGAGTGTAGGCAAAATTAGTTGCAGGAGTCATAATGTTGCAAACATCAATGATGTCATATTGCTCCATGTGCATCCTGAGAGTCTTGAGCATGCCCTTTAGATTCTGGACTTGCTCAAGTATGCCATGGACATCAGTCTGGAGGGACTGTTTGGCCAGTTTGACATGCTTTCCCAGAATAGGAGCTGTGGCAGCTCTAACAAAGGTCTGTCTAACATCATCACGGAGAGTATGGCGCTTCTCCTTATCCCATAGGCGAGCTTGATGAGGTCCACTTGGATCTTGCAGTACAACGGTGAGGGTACGGCCATCCACCTGGAGGTGGTGGAGGACTTCACCATTAGGGTCTTGTACTTCCTCTTCTTCCTCTCCATCATCATTGTCATTGCCATCATCGTCACCGTCATCATCGTTGTCGTCATCATTACCACCTCCACCTGGACCACCGGGACCACCTGGACCACCGGGACCACCGGGTCCTGGCTTTCCAAGTTGATTCTCTGGATCAGGTGGAGTGCCGTTATCGTCGTCATCGGGAGGATCCGTGGGTTCAGAGTCAGGCTTGGGTTTTGATTGCGACTTGGATTTCTTGCGAGAAGTAGAGGTCGTGGTCGCACCGGCAGTGCCGCTACTACCACCTCCACCTGCGACGAGAGCTGCGTCGGAATCATCTTGCGAGAAAGTCAGACGGCGAGAGGTCAATCTGCCAAGACGAGAGGTTGTCAGGGCACCTCGCGCGCGCTGAACCAAGGTCGAGGCCGGCGGTGATTCCATCAACCGCTGGAATCTCGTGGTCAACACCGCGCTACGTCGTCGGCTTTCGTCGATCCAGTTGTTCTGTTGTCCAAGGTCGGGCCACAGACCAGAGTCGCGGCGACCTAGAGGACGGAAGGGTTGAGGTGAGTAGATGGGAATGGAGAGCTCTTCATCTTCGAGTTCTCTAGTCTCTTGTTCTCTATGAATTCCAGAGGAACTCAGCTGGTAGGTGCACAAGAGCTGGGATGGAGAGCCCTGTTTGTTGGAGATCTCCTTCCACTGGCGCTGGAAAGGCCAGCCCAAGGCTGGCAGCCAATGCTATTCAATCACTGTGGAAGCAATGATTGAACAGTCTAATTGCTCAATACAATCACTGTGGAAGCAATGATTGAACAGTCTAATTGCTCAATACCCTGGCACTGGCCATACAGGATCCTGTCTACTGCAGAGCTCTACTTGTGCTGTTGGGTCTGTTTCTCAGGTCAACTACTTCTTCATTACTTCTTTAAACTTATAACATGAACACAAATTCTGATTTTGCGTGAAACACCATCCAGCCATGCAGGATACAGATCCATGCATCTCTTTTTGGCTGGTATAGACCAATCTATCTTTCTAGATAGGTCATGGCTGAGGGACTGCATCATCCTTCCTTACACAGGAACTCTATGTCCTCAACAGCTGTTCCTATCTTTTCTGATGCTGTGGCACGCTTGTTGAGGGAAATATACCTGACACCTTTTTACTATTGACTCTTGTATTATTCATCTAGTCCGGGTTCGCATGCAAATTCGTCATGCAAGGAACCAAGGAAGTTTTAGGTCTAAAGAGTTACGGGGGTCCTTATATCCAATTCATCACAAGAATTGCTATGCACACCAGAAAATCGCTCACTTTTGCTTTCAGCTTAATCTAAACCAAATTACTCCCCATGCTGCGTGGATTTTATTAGCAAACAACACTGAAAGCAAAAGTCTCATCACGAGTTCGAAACAAGATCGATCAACAGTATCGAGATTGATATCATCAAGATGATCCAAGCTACTACAAAGACTAAAAGAAAGAGTAACTACAGCAACAGAGAAGAGGTGCGAAGAATCAGCCTCTAGCCACCCACCTTATCCAATCTTCTCTTCCTGCGTGTGTGTATTCTGTCCTTTTCC